CTTCTCCTTCATCGCCAATATTTACTTTGATCAGAGGGTCTTGCGCTTGAGCGTATCCAGGTTTGGCAATCCGCATCANTCCTTGATTATTCTTTTGCCAATCACTGGCTCTTCCAGGGCCACTATATTTGGCCTCATCTGCTTGAACATCTCAGTGAGTGCATCCACTGAAAATGGTTCCTCGCTTTGCGCGACAACCTGAGTTTCTTCTCCGTCTTGTACCACTCTGACAGGTCCATAGTTTCCTTCGTACATGAATTTTTCCACCGAGTTTGCTTCCGCGACAAAAGGCCTATGGTCGGCCTGTACCACCTCTGCTTCACCTTTGTCATTCCAAAAGATCAGGCATTGATAGAGCGATGAGGGTATACAGCGACTTCCATGTATCCAATCTCTTCCTAGGAGCACGTTGTAACTAGTAGGACCATCTATTACAAAGAAGACAGTGGTCCTAGTAGTCGTACCTATAGTTATGTCTAATGGCATAACTCCCTTAGTTGAAATTGCTCCTCCATTGAAGTTAGTGAGGATGACTTCTGTAGGAATCATATCACCCTCTGTCTTCGCGAACTTCCTCATCATCCTAGATGGAATGGTGTTTATAGCTGCTCCATTGTCGACAAGCACTTTTGCCACTGGGACGCCGTTAACTAGAGTTTTAACGTATAATGGCCTCAGGTGTTTTGTCAATTTCATGGCTGGCCGTTTAAAAATAACCTTTTCGGCAGCCTCTATTTCTACCTCTTGCTTGTTTTCTGTCGAATTATCTCCTTGTGATAAGTTGACGTGCAGTATGTCACACTGATCTTATGTCTCCTAAACTTCCTTCTTACTTTTTTCTAATGCTTCCTCATCAGTTATCCAACCTGTGGGAGGGGGCATTATCCTTGGAGGTGACCCATACTTTTCAAAGCGAGGTACTCTCTTCTTCCTTTTGGATGTCCCGTATAGTACGTAGAAATCGAAAGGACATCCAGATGGCTCCCCCAACAAGTCTACTTCGCGAACTCCCTTTTGATATAGTTGCTTAAACAGAGTATTGCGCGATACTCCCCTCTTTTTCCTTTCTGCTTCTAGGTCGATTTCTTCTTCAATGTCTGTCATCCCATCGTCCTCTTCATCGTTGTAGGCCTCTCCAGAAGTATGGCCTTCTTCACATGTCAGCATGCAGGCTTCTCCTTCGTTGTCCTCCCTCTCTTCTTCCTTTTCCTTATTCTTGAATTCATTGGCCAGTAGGTAATTATTGGCCACGACAGGAGGCAACGTACCGAATTGGATAGCAAGGGGCTGATCTGGATCTTCTTCATCCCTTTTGTCCCTCTCAAACCTTGATCTCCCAGAAGAGGTTTCTGGCAGTTCCTTCATTGATTCATCTGTACCAGTCTCTTTACTACCTTTGAGGTCGTTTTGATTGGCTACTTTGAGTAGTAGAGGCGTTTTAGGATGTGGCATTCCTT